AATCAACATTGCAATAACTAGACAAGTTTATCCATGACTAAGTCACAGAGCATGTCTCCAAATAACGTCACACCTGGTTGTTTAGAGGTGTGCTCCAGAGCTGTAATCATGCAGCTTGCCTTTTGGTGCCAAATGTGAAAAGACAGAGCTGTAGCTGGCTAATAACACTCTCGCTTGCATTCAACCAACTCAGCAACTTGGTTACAGCTTAACAAGCTCTTAATTACAGCGTGCAGAGCTCCCAAACATTTCAGCAGCTCAGGCAGACAATGTGATTAATTAATTGGATGTGGGGAATGTGTCTATTCTAAGGATGAGAGAAGGTGTGTTGTTCGTGGGTGAGAATGCCTGGCTGTCAACAGCAAGCCTGGGTACTGCGAAACCTCACACTAAAAGCAAGTATTGTTCCATTTTGTTCACAATATTTATGGCCTTACAAGCATTTTGTCTCAATTTAGGCAGCCCTTTCAAGCCTGACAAGATCACTAGAGGAAAGACAAATGGGTTGATTTGTGGAGTATAAACCCCATCTCTTTCTATTTCAGCAATGCACTGGCTTGTCTGTCAAATCCAGTTCTGCAGCACACAGACAAGAGTAGAACATCTTCTAGTGATTATTAACGGAAACAGCCAGCAAGCTGGAACTTGTTCCACTGTTTTACAGAGAATTCAGACACATGACTGTTAGCTTGGCCTAAGTGTCAAACACTGCAAAAGAACACAATGAGTCAGATACAATGCTGAAAGCCCATGACTCAATATTTCCTTGTTGATTGCTCATTCAGATGAAATTACAATAAACTCTGTATTTCTGTCGATAATAGTAGCCTCTGTATCTACAAATATCATGTTCATGGAAATATGTGGCAGGTATGGTGCACTCATATTTGTTTTTGAAGGAAAAGTGTTGCAGAATGAGGAAGCGATAAGGAAAATTTGAGCAATGCCAGAAAAGGCAGATATACGTGAAGTCTGTGTTCCTTGTGAGTCTGATAGAGCAACCGTATGACGGGAGAAAACACAGACTTACAAGCCCCCCTCCCAGCTTTTGTTCTCACCATTACTCTTTGTGCATTTGTGGGTGTGTGAGCGAAGACAAACAATGCTGTCCCGCACAGTCTGGGTGCTATAGTATAGAGTGAAAGAAAGCATGGAAAGGGGAGGGTTGGGTGGTATTCAGACCGTATGGCCTTTTCCTTTAAACTGTGTGTGGGAAGACCTCCTGGGGCAGACAGACACGCCATTCCTTCACCCACAGACATTATATTATACCAGCCCACAGAGGCGATGCAGATGAGTGAGGAGGGAGGTTAGGCAAGACTGAACAGAGAAACTTTTCAGAGACGGGATAAAGATGGAGGGAGGGGTATTGTAAAGTAGACGTGCAACCACTTGCCACTGCCCCATCAGTTCTGGTGAGAATTATGCTATTGCTCAGCTCAACTAGGAGCAGAAACTATTATGAAAGGAAATTGCTCCTTTATTTTTCTTTACTAAACTTTACATTTAAATTGAGAAGTTACAATTATAAGTAATCTGTCTCTGATGGCTAAAAGTTTCTAAATGGAAAACTGTAAAGTTTACAAGTAATAAGCAGAGGCACGCAAAAAAAAATAAGAAAATAAAAAAATCCAAATCTAAATAAATAGAGTGTGTAGCTGACATTTTAGGGCATGAACACTGTCCTACATTAAACAAATAATTTCCTCCTCATTTACAACAATTTACTTCTGTTAGAACAAGCTAATCTGCTGTGCATGACAACACACATAAACATCAACAACACCGCATTAAAATCAAGTGACTCAGGGAAAACAAACAAACAAAAAAAAAAATAGATGGGAGCTCAGCGATCAACTTCCATTGGCCAACAGCAACGGTGCTAACGTTCCCGACGTTTACACGAATGTATACTTCAAGTTATCACTATTTACGTGAAATTTCTAATAAAACCAAAAGGAACGAGTAACAACACTGTGTTTACTTACCCAGAATACAATGTTGAATCCAAATAAAACGTATTTCACACAGCAGCTGACTTCGGCTCCTTTAAAATGACGGTGTTTTCTACTCATTCTTCCACGGAAAGTGGTGGCTAACTGACGAGCTAGGCAACTACTATGACTGATACTCAACCAAAGCTACAGTTCTTAAACAACTGAATACAAGGTTAGCTGGCTCCATCAGCTAAGCAAACCCCGCGTTAAGTCTTCCGGGTAGGTTAAAACTCAGACATATGTGGCTAAATTGTCTTTAACTTGCTTTGACTATTAACTTGCTAGGCCAGCTAGCTCGCAACTTCTATAGTTAGCATTAGCTGCTAATAACAACAAATCCAGGAGCACTTCAACTAAGGCACACAGATGCGGCTCTGCAGCTCCGTCGACATTCAAGTTGCCTGGTGTTTACGTCGCTTCGCTTGCTGGAGGATCGAAATAAAGCTGGCGGTACTTCAGCTACACCTCCCTAATGTTATCTGTGTTGCTGCATCGCCGCCTGTGAGTCTTCATCCTTGTTGTTTTGTGCTGTAAAACAAGCCCCTGCTGTCAAACGGGAAAACCACTGCGCTGGCTTTCGCCCTTTTCACCTCAAGAGCGGCCTCTTGTGTCTCAGCCTAGCTTGACCACACAGAGAATAAGCACTGTATGTACGAGGTTGCTTCATTAAAAGCTGCAATAGGAAGTGGCCAGGTTTATTGTGTGAGTTCAAATTGAAGGAGTGCATAGTCATTTAAAAAAAACAAAAAAAACAAAACAAAAAAAAAACCAAAAACGGGACAGGACAGTATGAGTAATGATATTAACAATCATGTATAATGATTAATAATTAGCTAGATTCTAGCTCATTATTTACACTTTTGCCTACACCTGCCACGACGTATTAAAATATCTGCGGCGAGAAAGGTCGATTAGGAATGACACTCTAATAAACGGGGGTATTCAAGCGCAATTATATATTCATAATTTCAGCCATAATGTTCTGGCATGACAGGCTGAGTAATTTCACTCCTTTAAGTAAGTCAGTGAAGGAGAAATATAGATAACTGCAGAATATGTGAAATGTTGTGCAACGTGATCAAATGAAAAAGGAAGTGAACAATCTGTTCTGAACAACTTTGCCTCATTTGAACTTCTGTCTGGAGTCCTACAGATGGCAGTCTATGATCCTGCGATAAATGCATTTCCTTTTCACCTCTGGGTGCTCCACTCTGGGGCATGCCAACCTTCTAACTATTGCCAGAAATGTGTATTATGTTGTACTGACAGTAAACACAGCACAAGACTGTAAAACCAAACAGTATTAGCCTGCATTAGCTATTAGCTACATGTAATATTTTCATCCAGTACTCTACTTTTTCTCAATATGGCATAAACCCGCACCTAATAACAAGACAAAGACATATTATGAAATTACAAATACACTGTCCACATTGTCATATAATTTTAAAGGAGCAGCTGTTAAAGGGCCTTAATGTTGTAGTGATACATTTAATAGTATATTTATTGGCCGATAAAGTTTTATTGATTATAGAATAAAAACACTAACTTAACATTGTAAATGCGGATATGTTACTACTTATCTTCCGTGACCAGCTTCACATTTTATTTAGATACATCATAGCTAGGGAAATGTTACTCCAGCCTACATTATTTTCAGTTCCCAAAAAGTTGATTCAGTTCATGAGGATGTAGTGTTTTCAGTGGGAGAAATGTTTCGCCACTAATCCAAGGGACTTCTTCAGTCTCAGCTGACTGCAGGTTTCCACCACCTTATAAACACTACAGTTATATAATGACTCAAACTAGCACCACTGATGAACAATGGCTGTAAGGTCAGTTTCTTGATCATTAATATGTAAATTGTCATGACCATTGATCAATGACCATTGATCAATTGCCATGAGTACCATTCACAGAGAGTTGGGAAATGGCTGCAAACATAGCATTGAAAGAAGTACCCTTAGGCCCCCTTCTTGATCTAGGTCTTTCCTTTTTCACATAAATGGCCTCCTTGACTACCCGTTCAAACCAGCGTTCCTCCCTGTCCAGGATGTGAACATTCTCTTCATTGAAAAAGTTGGCACTGGCCCGTAGATGTGAATAGACTGCAGAGTCCTGGCCTGACGAGGTAGCTCTTCTGTGTTGTGCCTTCCGCTTAGCCAGAGGTTTTTTGATTTCCCCGATGTAAAAAATTGTGGCAATCCTCCTGGATCTTAACAGCGTACACTGTGTTACTCTGTGCCGGGGGACCGGATTCTTGGGGTGGACCAATTTTGGGGCAGTGTGTTTTGGGATTTAAAAGCGACAGAGAAGTGGTGTTGAGGGAAAAATGCATCTCAACTGTTCTGACACATAAGGGATCACTAAATTTAAAGGATGCCGAGAGCATCCTTTAAATTTGCTCAAGGCCTTCTTGATGTGATGTTTTTCTGCTTCCCTGGCTGCTGTACCTGTGGGGATGGTGTTCGTCATGTGTTGTAGCGTCCTGATGACACCCAGTTTGTGTTCCAATGGTTGATGAGAGTCAAACCTTAAATATCGATCCGTATGCGTAGGTTTACAGTGCACATCAACTTTTAAATATCCCCATTACTCATGGAAATCTCACAATCTTTAGACTCAAGTTCACATCAAGTTCACCAGTTCTGTAAACTTGATGTGTTGATCCACCGAGTTTATGTGATCAGTGAATTGTGTTATGTCCTGAGATTTGATTTTCACCCAGGTGTCATCCACATACCTGAACCAATGACTTGGTGGTGTTCCAGGGTAGAATAACGGGCCCTCTTTTCCGCTTCTTTCATGTACAAGTTGGCCACGGTGGGTTATTTTCAATTATATTCCTCACTAAGGTGATGGTCTTATAAAAGACAATAGCAAAGACAAACTGAAAATATTGAATCTAGTGTGGCATTTTTTTATTCTGCATAAAATCATTCAAAGATCATACAGTTATGCAACATGGGTTATAAAATGCAGGCATGCAATCAACCCCCCCCCCAAAGCACTCCAAAAAAAACCCTGCTTTCAAATTCAAAACTATAACAATTCTTGTTAAAGTCTGAGAACTTCTGCAGTCCACCTAGTGGTGACCCAGGTTGAACTCAAGCCGTGACAGTGATAGGCCTAATCCTGCTGAAAGAGCCGGGTCACTGTGTAGCAGGAGTCCCCGTCACTCAAAAGACAAACAGGGTAAATATTTAGAAATGTGCTGATGCTTTTGGCCTGCGTGTCAGGGAATGAAGGAATGATCTGTTGTGCTAGCGAACGACTTAAGAAGGTGGTGTAATATGGCCCCACGCTTGAAACATAAAGCTCGTTCTGGCAGCAGTTATGTTTGCGGCTAAGTGCCACCATCATCATGTCAGCATATTGCATTCTCCAGCTGTGGGCTATTTTATTTTTTTACAGTATACAAGTGTTTGAAGGTAACGTTTTGAGTGACACTTCTCAAAGCAATCAAGCTTTTGAACAACCCCTTCTTAGCCGCTGAAATGGAATGAAAAGAAGTGCAAATCAAGTACGAAGAGAAACAATAAAAATGAACGAGAACATACATTTGATTTTTTATATGCATTTCAAATACATACTGGTCCTCCAATCATCTTCTGACAATCACTTTACAACGTACAACATTCTTCAAAATCTTTTTTCCCTCCTCTCCATAAAAGGTTAACGCACACACTTGTGTGACATCCACTTTTACTTCTGAACTTCTGAACCCATCTCGAACAGGCTCTCAGTGAAATATATAAATTTTAATCCATTCCTTGTCTCAAACCTTAATCAACCGTTTTTCTGTCGACAACAGCAAAAGAAACAAAAAATACAACAATTTTGACATCTTTCTTGGAACTCGGAAACAGTGTTTGATTGAACAGTTGTATCAATGCCCTGTCTTACCTCCACATAAGTCTCTGTATTTAACATTCCCTTTTTTTCTGTCATTCTTCGTCAGTCTGTCTATAAAGCTTACATTCATTTCAGCAAATCAGAGCAACATCTATACGCTTTGCTAAACTCATTATTGCACTGTGATATTTATGCATTTTACTTACTTTGCAGTGGTTACAGCTGGTAATAAATGAGTGTGTGCTACCTATCTACTTCTGTGTTTTTGTTGTGGAAAAGGGAAGGGAACCCATCATAATCAGTACTGTCTAAATCATTTTATCAATTCACTGCTTGGTCATTTCCTAACGCAGTACTATGAGAATGCCTCATCCAAAGCAGATTAAACTCACTTGAGGGGTATATTTACATGTTACTCATTTCCTTCAACATTTTTAGGTCTCAACCCCAATTTTCTACTTGCGTCATAACAATAGTTCATTAATGATGTTTAAAACTGATACTATTTCTTCAAACACTTTTCAAACACAGTATCGACAGTGAAGATTCTGTATGTTTGTTGTGAAAGTATAATATGTATTGAAAAATCTTTGGTTATTTTGAGTCTTTTGCACTTTTTTTGGCGTGTAAGAAGCATACAAGCCACAGCAACTGTGTTGTGTAAAAAGCTTGTTCTTGTCAGGCCATACTACGAATGTGAGCCATATGAAATACTATAAACTACTTCGATACAACATATACCATTATAGGATCTGCAATCAAAGTTACTTATGTAGTACTCATCTAACATTAGTCTGATGAAATGTCTCTAGAAACTCGGTTACTTGGTGATCTACTTCCACAAAACTCTATGAAATCAGAAATTGTGCTTTTGTCGACACTCAATAACGCCCTCACAGGTCAGTGGAGATGGTACTTCGTTTCACCCTCAGGCTGCCGCCCCAGCCGCGGGGACAAGTGTTGTAGGAGTGGAGGCCGGGCGAGCGGAGGCCTGAGTCTTCGGATTCAACAGAGGCGTCGGAGTCGGTCAGGGAGCGAGTGTGGTAGAGACGCACAGGAGAACAGATTCTCTGAGTTGGAGTTGGGGGAGGGCTGGTGAAAGTAGGGGACTGTGCCCCCAGTGACCGTGACTGGAAGAGGTTGACGGGTGGTTTCTGACCGTCGTAGCTCAGTGATGAGATAGGAAGACTGTGACCGCTTAGTGCACCAGGAGAAGGGCTGTTTTTACGTTTGGCTGCATTGATGATATTTTTGGCCAGCAGGCGATGGTTGGCTTTAGAGTCCAAGTTGTTAACTGTGGGAGACATGCAGCGACTGTCTTTGGGCAAGGAAACAGGAGAGGTGACGGAGGATGTGTACAGAGGTTTAGTGGTAGAGAGAGAGAAACTGGTTTGAAAGTGTGAAGGAGACTGAGAACGTGAGCCCCATGGAGGAGAGACAGGAGATGTGACTGTAGATGGCTGGGATGGTCTGGATGTGGAAACTAAGAAGCTAGAGGACTGGACCTTCTGGCTTACTAATGGGGATTGGCATCTTGATCCCCAAGGAGGTGTGTGTGGTGAAGTCGCTGTAGATGATTGGGGAGGTTTAGATGAAGAAAATGAGAAACCAGTGGAGGGCTTGTTGTTCTGGGTCCCCATTGGGGATTGGCACCTTACACCCCAAGGAGGAGAAAGGGGAGAAGGAGATGTAGAAGTTTGGGAAGCAGGAATTGGGGAAATGATAGCGGACTGGCTGACCACTGGGGACTGACATCTTGAACCCCAAGGAGGAGAGCGTGGAAAGGTGGCTGTAGATGTTTGTGAGGGTCTGGATGTGGAAGTGGAGGTAACTGTAGAAAACAGGATATTCTGAGTGCTCATAGGCGATTGGCATCTTGAATTATTACGAAACGATACAGGGGACGTGACTGAACGGATGGAGCTAGTGAGGGGTGGTGGGCTTGTTTGGAGGCTAGAAGTCCAGCTTCCAGTAGCTGGGCCGCCCGGGTTGCCTGTGAGGTTAGGTGTCCTGGTTGGTGTAGGTGTCTCACTGGGAACTTCAGCAGGAGTGGACTCCTTTGGTGTCTGTTGGATCAGGACAAGTGTTTCTTTAATCTCTTAGAAATATGTATTCAAAAACACAGTATATTAAATACACAAAAACTTAGGCTATAGTATTGTTAAGCATGGGGATAAGTAAATGAATCTAAAAGGTTTTTAATGAAACTGTGTCAGGATGTGTTGTTCGGAGAGTCTGTTCAGATGAAACTTCACACAATACACCCAGAAGATCAACCAAGTAAACTTAATAAGTGAACCTGTGATGATAAAACTGTGCCCAGCCTGTGCCTCAGCAGCATTCAGGTTATATTTGTGCACTCCCTCCATCTGTATGTGTTTATCCAGCCTCCCCTGGCTACCAGCCCACACAGGCCCTGTCTTAAGTGTCTCTCTCGGGTTACTGTCATCTGGCTTTCCCGTAGAGGATAACCTTTGCAGAGATATGAAGTTACCTGACAGAAGCAAGGCTCGCATCCATCTCATGTCTATTCTAATTAGGGAATACTCCCACTCAGTATGATATTATGATGAAACTAACCTGCTAGGATCACCTTCCCGAGAAGTTATGGTCTCATAAGTCGAATGTTAATGGTCATATTTCAAATGTTCGAGGCTACTTTGAAAGAAAACAAGGCCTAGGTCAGGAGTCATAGCATTTGTCTAAATTTCTGACCCCCTCAAGGTCAGCCAGGGCAGAGTTCAGGCCTTAACATGAATACGCATAACTCAAATTGTTATGGGGGAAAAAAACATCATGTAATGGAAAGCTTCAGTTTTTTCCCCAGAACTTTAAATGTCACACGCTGTGTAACAAAATAGATACCCCCCCCCCCCCGCCGCAAGCTATCTGTGTACTTCAAGGAGGTATAAATTTTATTAGTGTGTTTCCAGTGATTGCTTAAAAGGCAAAAGAGTGAAAGTGGCAAACAATTAACATTGGAAAAAGCCAGTGAAGTCAGGAAATGAGGAAAAAAAGTCAGAATGGAATCCGTGTAGAGGGTTAGCATGAAGCTTTAATCAGAGGAAGCAAAGGTTCAGTCGTACATAAAACAATCGGATAGAACAGACGGAAAAGAGCAGCGAATCAAGGTTTGTGAAATGAAACAGACACAGTCCCTGTGCTCTGGAAAACAACAGCGTTTGATGACGGAATTACTGCTTCAAGTCATGAAAAACAAAAATATGTATATAGCAGGCAGATTTGAAACACCTAAGAATTCAGGCACACACCATATAGTTAAGTAGAGCATGCTGAAAAGCAGAGTAAATTAGCATGAAGGCATAAAGATAGAAAAGTAGTTCTCTTGCTGCAACTTTCATGTCAGTGAACAGCATTAAATTGCAAATCGTAGATCATAAAGCAGATGCTAGACCATCTGTTAAAGTGCTTTGTGAAGCAGCATCACCCGGGTGCCCAGTGGAAAAAGTGTGAGGCTGTTTCTCATCATATTTTAAAATGTGCTGAAAATGGACGTTCTTGAGTGCTGATGTGCTTCGCGGCTTTGGGAATGGCAGTTGATTTTCATTACGCTGAGGCACATTTTACATTTTCGAAGGATAATTACCAGTCTTTGGGGTTTTTTTACTGACAAAAAAGACAAATAATATGCACTGAACAGAAGATAAGACACAGATAGCCATGGCTAAAACTGTTAATCTGTCAGTAGTTTGATGAAGATGTTACATAGTGTCTAAGAGACACATAAATTCTCTATAATGTGTGGGATTATAGTAATAAGAGGCACAAGAAAAAGAAGAAGGCACACGTTAAACAGGCAGTGTAATGAATCGTAAGTTTTAGCCCTATTAAAATCACTTCTGCAATCATGTGTTTAGTATCTAAAAAAACCCAAACATTTTCTTTCAACACATTTTCTAAAAATGGTACAAAGAGGGTCTCCACACCTGCGGTGCAATCCCTGCCTTTTTGGCAGAAAATGTGGGCCTTGGTGCCTGTACTGATGACCGGGGAGAGGACACCCTGTCTGGAGAAAAAGCAGACATCGGAGAGCTGATCCTTGGATGACCAGATGTCGGATTTGAAGGATAATCTGGTCCTCCTGTAGGTCTGAGAGGTATTTGAGGAGACATGCACTGGGCACTGAAGTTAAAGGGAGGATTCTTAGGGAGTGAAGTCTGTCGGGAGAAAGTTGGAGTGGCGAGCTGGTTCCTGGCCTGTGGTGCTCCTTTGGGTAGGGTACTGATGGGGTCCTTGACTGGGTTAATGATGAAGAGAGAAGAGTTAAGCTGGTATGGCCGGTGCCTCGACAGATCCATCTCTATCTTGGAGCAACCATTTTCCAAAGGCGGCGGCTCTGGAACTGGCTCTGGTGGTGGAGGTTTTTTCATTGGTTTCTGCTTGACTGCTTGTTGCGCCTTGAGATTTTGTGAAAGTTGAGCACACATGTCAGAGTTTTTAGCGATAGCTTTGACCCTACCAGGCATGTTTGATGGGTAAACCCAAGATGGTGGCAGAGACATTGTAGGAGAAGGAGATCTAATTTGGCCTGCGTTCTGATTCTCAACCACATATTTTTCCATCCTGGACTGACGCTTAGCAAACAGTTCAGCACCTTTTCCGGACACATTTGTAAGCGACTGTTCCGGTTGGTGCTCTGCCCTTGGTCGGGTCCTCGAGCTCTTGAGACAGGAGGACCATTCTGGAGCTCTTGCTCCCTCTGTCCTGTCCTCTTCCTTGGCTAGGAAGTTGGAGGCTTCTGCACCCAGAGCCAGTAACTCTTCTTCAGATCCTGGCTCAGGGACAGATTTGTGTCCATGCTTCTTTCTTTCATCCGCTCCTTGCACTAGAGAAAGTAGCTCGGGGTTTGGAGCAACCACCGGTTTCTCTTTGAATGTGAACATTGACTTTTTATTTGCCCTCCTGGCAGCACCCTCCTCAAGTATTCCTGTTTTGATTGGTGTTGTCATCGTCCTCTCCCCTGATGGCTTAGGAACAAAAGTGGAGGGTTTCGGGGCTGTGGGAGGGCCATAATGGGGCAATTGTGAATACTGGGAAGCAGAGAAATGGGATGGCGGAGGAGAAGAAGGAGACATGACAGGAGACATTGGAGGTGGACTGGTGTAGTAAGTCTGTGGGGGCTGGTTTGTAAAAGAGGGTAGAGGTGGTGTGGGATATGACGGAGGCGGAGGAGGAGGTGAGGCCACCACAGGCTGGGGGACAGTAAAAGCAGGGAGAGGAGGTGTGGAGTAGGAAGGAGGAGGGGGGATGTCCATGACAGGCCTGATGGTCTCCGGAGACTGCACCGTGGGCGGAGAGAAGAAAGGTCTGGCAGTTCTATTGATGAAGGAGCTTGCCTGCTTAGATGTGGGCACCTTCTCAGGACCAGAGGCACCATGACAGCCATTAGGAAGCTTTCCAGCAGGATCTGGCCCTGTTTGCCTCCCATTTATCTCTGCTTCTCCTTCAGCATGTACTGACACTATCACATCAGTGGTTTTACTCCCTGGCGGAGTCTCACGCTCGGCCTCATCCTCTAGATCCTCGTGAAATTGATGTCGTGCCTCTTCCTCTTGCTCCTCCTTGACAGGGAGGAAGTGTCTCTCTTGCACAACACTGTCATCAGTGTCTTCTTCTTTGTGGAAATCCTTAGCCGGCTTATCCATGATATCTCCCACTGAGCGTACTCTTGCAGGTGTTGAGAAGACCGGCTTGTCAGCGGTCGTGTTCTTTAAGTTTAGGTCTCTGTCCTTTTCCTCACTGCTCCTCTCTGCCCATGTCAGTTTGTTGGATGGGGGGTTCGTTTTCACATCCTCAGCTCTGTCCTCCTCTGACCTTTCTCCACAGCTCTCAAGTGTGAAGGCGTTGACTCTCTGCTTACGCCGATTAAAGAGCTGAACACCCCTGGACTTGGAGTTGGAAGGGACGGTGAGCTGAGCAGCAATGATCTGACTCTTGACGCGAGCCTCCTTTAGCTCCTTCTCTGACAAACTGGCACTCCTGGTCAGATCTAAAGCGAAACACACAGGAGAAAACACAAGAAAGGAAGTTCAGCTAAAAGAAAAAGACAAAGGAGTTTTGCCTTCTTGTCTATATTAAATAATAAAAGGAGTAAGACCTCTGTAGACTTGGCAACGTGCTGCTATGCAGAGACAACTCCCTAGCATGTAATTAAAGTTTGCCAAACTGTTTTCATGAACAAATAGAAAGAACCAGAAAGGGTGATTTTTAACAAGTGTGGGATAGAAATATTCTCTTTAAAACCCACATAACTGTTTTGGCACCATGTGGTTTTGATTGCTTTTTTTCCCTTTTTTTTTATTTCAGAGTACCGGTACTTTTGATTTCAACCAATCTAGCAAGGGTTTTTTCCCCTTGTGGACATTTGACTCAGCAGACCAGAGCTGTAGGCAATGAGCCAGGAGACGTAGGCGGAGAAGCATTTGAAATAAACATGTCAACAGCTGCTTTACTAAAGTTAATAAAAATTAAAACAAACAACAACAAAAAAAGATCAAGGTCAATGTCGAAAGCTGCAAAATAGGGAAATTACAGCGAGTCGGTGTCTTACCTTGATTTCATAGGTTTGCTGATTACTGGAATTATAAAATAAATGATAGTTTGTTTTCTGAGCTTGAGAGCTCCCTTTTAGGCGGCAGAGCTATTTCCTTCTGCAGTAGTCCCTCCCTGAGCATTCCTCCACTGAGAAAACTCCCTGCCTGTGCTTCCAGCATGCCTTTGGTTTCTCTCTGTACTTAATTTGTGCAGAACTGCAGCTCAAACCCTTAATAGACCATTTTTACAATCTAAAACTAACCCAGAAAAATCACATTTTTTCACTGCCCTCTATAAACATACTATACAATTAAGTGTTCCCACTTAAAGTATAGTGAACACATCACTCTTCAAAGTCCACGAGAGGAAAATCAAAGCTGCATCTTTTGCCTTTTTTTTTAGCTTTATAAAAACCTGTAGTCAGAGTCTCTTTGTTGTTATGGTGACACATCTGGTAGATTATTCACCGAAAGCATGTTACTCTGATGGAAGATATTTAAAATCCCTGCAGGACGTTTCTCAGACAGCTAGCTCAGCCATGACTGTTTTTTTTTTTTTTTCATTTATTAAGGTGATGAATCCAGACAGCTACATTATTTGATGTAATCATGTGCCAATCATAATAATTATGCATAAATCAGTCACTTGTAAAGCTGTCCTATAGAACTGAGTCGGCATGCAGTTTTCCCTGGCACAGAGTGTAAAGCCAACACGATCATTCCCCCCAGTTAAAAGGAATAATATGCATCTGTCACTGATTTGACAGACTAAATCTGGCCCTCAGTAATTGAATCAGCTCCTTGTGAGGTATCCTTGAGCTTTTTTTTTTTTACATAAACTTAGCTAAAGTTCAAGAGCATACGTGTGCCATCCACTCTTTATTATTTTTTTCATGAACCATGCACCCTGGACCTGCTCTAATAACAAGCAGCGTGTTAACAAAGTTATCCTCTGTGATAATAACGATGATGACGGCGGTTATGTCTGCAAAAAAAATGGATAAGTATAGACTATGTTAAATCACGCACCTGACACCAACATGATCTATCCCCCATATTAGATATTTGTTCCAGTATAACAAGGATAAACACATTACCACACCTTAGACAAGCAGTCCTCTCATAACTACTGGCATGAGCATAAATCACCTTCTTTTATAGACTGCTACACAGAAATGAGCCTACCTATCTCACAGGTACTTTATGTAGACTCGCTGCCTTTTATCATTGTCGTCACTGTAAGCAGTAGCACCACCAGGGGTCCCAGTGACCATTTTTATGAGCTATTTGCTGTTTATAATTCACGCTACCTGAATATACCGGAGCAGAGAGGCTTGAAATGAAGTGTCCTTGCTATAAACATCTACCTTGAGTGGGAGCCAGCTCTGTTATCAAGTAACATTTCAGGAGCAAATCCCAAGCGGTACCTTTTATTTAATTTGAATTTTGATTTTAGTTAGCGTTAAATTCTCAAGTTTTTAAGCTAATCTTATGGAAAATTCCAAAAACAAAAAAAGCTGCAGTTATTTTGCATAAAATGTATATTTTAATCAACAACAAATACATAAAAATGCTCAGGTTAGGCTCAAAAGTACAGATTGCATGATTACACACGAATCTCAGTGATCTTTACCTTTTTAGTTATAAGGAGAAATAACTTTAAGCTTATGAGCGAGCGTCTTCTACAGAAACACTGCCAATAGTAAGTCATATTTCTTCATAAAAGAGACAAGCACAAGCTGCTTCAACATGTTAACATATTCTCACATTTCTTGAGTTTTCTGAAAGCCTGCTTCTCTTGCTGGATCCACTCTAGTGTCTAATCCCTTACCTTTTTCAAGTGAAAACTCAGGGCTCCGCTGTTTTGTAGTACTTCCACAAGAGTTTTCAATTTAACTGCGCCTGATAGCTTCACACCCCCTTTCTGGAGCGAGGTGGGATCGGATTTCTTTTCCCCTGCAGTCCAGCACACAGACAGGCAGGCAGGCAGGGGAGGAAAGGAAGGGAAGAAGGGGGGAAAGGCGGGGAGGGCGTGTAGCTGGAGGCTGTGCTGTCTGTCACTCAGCCTCCAGCGTTGTTTTACTTTTTCAGATCTGTGCCATCGCACTTCCACTTCCACATCCACTTCCCTAATTATATATATATATATGTGTGTGTGTATAAAAAAAACTGGGACGTGACTGCTTGACAAATCTGGGTCTTTCATTTTAGAAAGCTTTACAGAGGCTGCACTTTATTTTGAAAGTTCAGGAGATGGGTGCAATCAGCGGTAAGTAGTCAGCAGTTTATCTCTGTCTGATGTCCTCTGCCCTTGCTGCCCTCAGTGCACGTCTCGCACTCGCTCCAACTAAGTGTCTGCCCTCTTTGAACCCTAAGGCCTCCAACCTGCAGGAGTGGGATAGGAATTTCCTGTCCAACATTAGAGTCAAAACTCAGCGCTCAACAGCGATGCAAGAGCCCCTACATCATATTGCCTACCCTTACTCCTCCACCTCCAACTTTCTCTACCTCTGCCCTCTGCCCCATCACCTCATCCCAGCACGGGTGAGATCAGACAGGAAAGCTCCCCCCGCCCTCACGGCAGCGGGATTTAAGTCAGGGAGGCCAACCCTGCTTTTGTGTATCAAAGGTCAGATTACCCTGTCGGATGTTATCTTTCTCCGGGTGATGGCTGTGGGGTGAGCATGGATGACAGCACCAGCCCCTGCGGGTGATGCGTGAAGCGGTATGGAAAGACGAGGATTAACAGAGGTCCTGAGATCCTACCAGACTGAATGTGACCTAAACTCTCAGCAGATTCCCCTGGGAGGAATAAAGAAATCCAGTTCAGAGGTGGAAACCAAGCTCTCCTGCTCATAGCGTTACTGTTTCACGTGTTAGGAAAGATCCCACCGGAGCAGTTGTCCACTTTCTCCGCCGCCTTTTTGTTGTTCTAGTGATCTCTGTTTCATTTGAGGAAACTAGTGAGTAATGAGTGATAGGAAGGGTATTGGAAGCCCACAGGCTATAGATCCATATCAGGAACAATTATTTGAAGGCTGGGAACCTTTTTAATGCACAATGCCTTTTTACTCACTTTGAATAGTGCATCTGAAAAACTTGTCACCACCCACCAGTAGTCATGTTTTCTGTCTTTTCATGGATTCGACATTTCTATTTTAAAACAGGTTTTTTGAAGTTAAGTTGGCAGCTGTAGAGGTAAAAAGCAGAGGGGCATTTCCAAACAACGTCTCCCACAAGTTAGCCTGTTATTGCCTGTGGCCGGGTTGTATATTAAGACAGCCCTTTAGCAGTGAGGCATGATTGCATTGGCACAGCTGCTACAAGAACCTGTATTTTTATGACACGGAAACAGATGTCTCAGAGACCAGCTCATTGTGTCAAGTTGCTCTGATGAGTCCAGACTCAGAAACAAACCACTGAATGTGCATTTAGAGTTACATTTTCTTGTAAGAAGTCCAAATAAGGAGAGAAAATAGCAAATAAACAAGCACTTACTTGTTTTCCGGCTCATGTGTTCTTTGTTGAATCCTGTCTTCTCCCATGATGCATTGTAGTCTGTCCCATGGGTCTGCACGTCTTGAGTTAACTGGAGAGGTTTTCTCAAGCCCCCCGGGCTCCAGCTCACCCCTCTCCTGATAGACGTATGTCCCTTCTCCATCTCCATCGCCGTCTGTCGCAGCAGGAACAAGCCCTCAACGCGGGAGGGAGAAACGCTAGTGCTTTGTCCTGCTCGGCTCAGTCTCCTCTCCCGAAAGGATGAAGCAACTGGTGAAAGATGAAGTTTTACTCCTTACTGGCAAACAGTGAATTAGCTGAAAGAAAACACCCACGCAGAAGATGAGGGAAAGGTAGTAGTTCAGTTTTCCCAGTTTCTGTTTCCGGTTACGGCTCCCCTTTCAGCAATAATTCTTCCAAATGTTGTCCTGCAGACAGCCGAAATTTGACGGAAGAAGCGTGTTCTTGCATTGGTCTTCATGAAGTATTATCCTGCATCTAATGGGACCTCCCAGGAGGGTCAGCTTCGATGAGCATTGGATGAGCTCCCATGGATAAATGCCACGAAAATTGCACAAGATTGTTGTGCTGTGCTAAAATTCTGGCACGAAGGGCTGAGAAAGAGTCCAAGCTTCTCTACTCACATCTCACTAATACTCCTTTTTTTTTCTTTCCCAGATGTTGCTCTTCCTTCTCTTCTATTTTAGTCACAAAAACAAGTTTTTCGCCTGCACCCCAATCTTCAACTCGCAGATGACTTTTCTTTTGGAGAAAAGGGATCTGCCCTTTATCTCATAGATCATAACTCTTGAGTGGCTCGCAGGGAAGCTGTGTATATGAGCGGCTTCCTGCTTTTGGGTGCGTGTGAGGAATAGCATTTCATACTGGAAAGGTCACTGCAGAGGCTGGTTTGTATTCAGTGTTCAAAAGCATTCAATTAGGGCTGCTTTCATCTGGTGTCCCGTGTTATTTCTCAGGCATTAAAGCCAGACACGGTCTCTGAAAGTAAAATGATCGATTTCATTCTTCTGCTTTTGAGGAAAGCCATATGTGAGGATGAAGATTCCTATTTCATGCGGCGGATGTTCTGACTTCCACTGAAACACATCAGGGGGCTGCAGCTAAGACTTCAACAGTTCCACCAGTTTGGCTGATTGTTGGATCACAGATCGCTGCTCTGCTCTGTGTTCGCTGTATGCCCAGAAGCGCCTGCAAGAAAAAGGAGAATATGCAGTTATGTCAAAGGTCAAATCTATTTTAGGTCAAATAAAAACTGTATGATGCATCTAACCAGTGTTGTCTTTTTTAAATAATTTCACTGCTTCGTACACGATTTCAGGAAGGCTTCTGATATTTAAAGACTTTTTAATGACGTGGTCTGAAGAACATCATTTACCTAACTCTTCTGATGAAAGTTTAGTTAGTTTACTCCCAAAAATAAAAGCATCAAACTCAACTTATCTCGGTTTGTAAGACGGCAGGAGTCTGACTCTCTGTCTTCAGAGGTAAAGATCAGGCTTCTCACTTTGAAGTGCAGTCACACTAATGGTGCAAAGTCGGAAACGAGAGGCGCCTTTTTTTAAAAAAAAAGAGTCTGATAAACTCTGTTGTCTCCCATGAAGGGAGGAAGGCTGCAGTCCATTCAGGTTTGAGTGTTTAGGATCTACTGTGTATTAAACCTGTCAGACACAACTTATCCCTGCCTCAGGGTCTGTGATGCGATAGAGCACACTGAGAAAGTGAATGTGGACTTAAGCTTTCCATTCAGCGTGAAGTAAAGAGAGAAACAAAGACATGAATATCTTGCAGTGACATTAAGTGGGCACACATCCTCCTTCACTCTGACCCTGTAGAGTATTTCTTTAGATCAGCAGTGTCATGTTCCTCCTTCAAAGCCAACAGGAGCCACTGGCAACATTTGTAACGGTAAACCACTGTTTGCACATCTCCTTGTCCTTGATCGGACTTGCCTCACCTCGAAGCTGATTGGGGTTTCATTTTTGCTTGTGAGTCACTGCTCATGAGTGGGAGGCTTGTTCAAAAACTGCACACACACACATACATTTCACACTTATTATTTTTAAATGCCTTTTCTGAGATTCCTGAGAAGCAAAGCAATGCTGCTTTCTCGAGGTGTCTAAGCACCGTAAACTTGTTTGGATCGTTTGAAGGCTGTGTTTTTGTTTCGTAAAATAACAACTGAGTCATGAAAATTCATAGCAGGGCTGCGCATTAGTCCCTGGACACAATCAGCCCAAACAAAACCCTGCCCCACCTCCCCGCTGTAAAAAAAAAAAAACCCAACAACAATCCTAGCTTACTGGCATGATCGTGTCAAGTGACATGAAGGCTGGTATTGTTTAGACACTCTGACAATCGCTCTTTGATTCCTCCAGATGTGCGATCTGTGCTTGGATCACTCAGAAAGCGACACTGTCTCTTCACATTAGCTTTCACCGTGTCACTTTCCTGCAGTGGTTTTCTGATATTTTTCTTCACTCGCAGTTGTCTTTGTTTCCCGTCTCCACAGAGAACATAGGTGAACACGTGTGGAGGACATGTCCCAACACCCCTGGTTTAAACATGGGTTGATTGCCAACTTTGATCCAGTCTGCAAATATTTATTAAGTGACAGACAAGGAACAGATGTAAGAACTCTACATGAGCAGAGGCTCTGGCTCAGGAAACAAAACACCAGCATATGGACTTTTGAAATCTGCATCTGTCCCAATCCTTTCTTTATCTCTTTTGCTTTCTACTTTTTATTTATCACGGCTTGTTAATACACAGCTTGATGTTGTATTTCTCCCAAACAAACCTGTGATATCTATCCCACTCTGGCGATTATGTGCTTGCCATATGTAATAGTCTGATATCTCTTCCACCACCACCACCACCACCACCACCACCTGGTCTCCAATTACTTTAAAGTTCAAAAAGTATTTCGCAGTGCCCACCTGTCCCGTTTGGCTTCCACCCCGGCACAATATTCCTATGCCACCCAACTGCCTCCGTGATCAGGAATCAAGGATCTAATTTACAGTTTGGCCCCGCAGGCTGGTTTAATGTGTAATCACAGCGTTCCTGTCCATCATCAGCTCATGATGGATTCATACCAGACAGCAAATCTATCCCTCTGCCCTCTGCGGCGTGTCTCACATAGCGACAGCGCACAAAAGAAATTGCTTTTGGCACCCTTACAAAACCTTAATCACTCATTTGTCCCTCATGGCTGTTGTCTTGTGTGTTTATTACACATCTGCATCAGTAGTCAGCTTGTAGAATGCGTGTCTTCCACCTAATAGCTCACAAAGCGCATGTAGTTTCACCCCAGTAACGGCATCTGCACATCATCAGTTGCTCGGGGCGCACATGAGCGGATGTCAGGTGAGCGCGCATTCCACCTACTCTGTGACTTGAAGTGTATCATTTACCCAGCTTATAATGAGGCATCGGGTCAGAGCATTGACTTGAACTGCAAGCCTTTATGACTGAATCCCTGAGGGGAAGATCTGTTGTGTGTCTGCTATTGTCTGTCTTTTGCTGGGATGTTTTACAGTTAGCAAAAAAAATTAAATAAAAGAAATAATTTAACAGTAAAGGCTAAAGGCTTTAGCGGGGCCTCTCTCTCTCGCTCACTCTCTCTTGTTTAAACAAAGAGCTATTCAAGGGCCCTCGCAGCACTACAAAATAATTTGGGCTAGTGCTCCAAAATGGGCATTCCTGCTTCATAATTCCTCAAGAGGCTGTGATAGTTAACATGCCGCAGCTTGTGCAAGCTGACGACAGACATCTAAAACATTGCAAAGAGTCGTCCCCAATGAAACGAACAAATGTCTCTCTCTGTTTGCCATTGCCGAGAGTGCGATCATAAATCATGCAGTGGGAAGACCTTGTAATAAAGCGCCTGCTTCGCGCGCAGCTCATCCTGCTCTCGTTGTCACAGGTGGGGAACTTCAAGAGGTGAAAATAAATACTTGAAGTAGGTGTGTGTCATCCAGTGCCAAGAGGGAGGCACCTCCTTGAAACAATCAGTCATAATCTGAAAAACCGTTAGACATCAAAGGCAGCGGGCACAAACACTTTTTTAAAAATGTAAAGTTGCAAGCAGGAAACTACTGGCTTTCTGTTCGCACTGAGACATTTGACAAAGTAGGTTTCTGCTGTTTCAAAGCATCTCCCATTACAGCAAAAATAAAGGAGGTGTAGTTTGCTAATCTGTGTAACACACTGTTACTGGGCCTCACCTGTTGTGTTAACAGGAAGCAATTACTTATATATGCTATGCGTAAGTCAATACAGTCTCCAGTCAGGACTTTAATTGGATACACCCTCTAATGTTACACAGTGAAGTTCAAGTCTATAACATGGCCACAGAGCGGGCTCCACACAGTCAGGACAATAGGCCTGGATATCAGTGACCACAGTGCTAATGTAGCCAGCCAACACCCCCACCCCAACAACCCCTGCAAGCCTACAGCCTTTGCCAAGGGAAAAAACAGCAGCCACAGATGTTTGTCATCTACTCAAACAAAGACTTTCAGAGTTTCCCTCCTCTTCTGCCCCAGTTCGTCGCATTCCCCGGACTCTCTCTCCTCTTTCCCCAAGCAAAGATACTGTCTTCTTACCCCATAAAGATAAACTTAATAGGCTCCAAGTGACAAAGTCTGGTGCAAGCGAAGATAAAATTCCATGATTCATTAAAGCAAACCCCCCCCCCCACACACACACACACACACACACACACCCTCCCTTTTCTTTTCTTTTCTTTTCTTTTCTTCTTTTTTTTGTTGGTTAGGTTTGCTGCTCACCTGTACTCCAGTGCATCTGGCTGTTTGAGGCGGCGAGGGTGTGTACTGCCCCTTTTCAGTTCCTACGAGTGTGCGAGCATACCTCCCCTTTTTACCTCTTCTCTCCCTCTCCCTCTCTCTCTCTCTCGCTCAGTCGAAGCAGACGAAGGATGGGGGTGGGGTGGGGGGTGGGGGGGGTCAATTGGAACACAGAAGACTCTTTGTCTGGGATTTTTTCATATGGTTTCCTTCAAGCTTGCATACTGAACACATTATGCCATAATATATTTTCATATTCAACGCAGGGATGTTGAGGGACCAGTAGGCCCCCGCTCTGTTCTCTCCCCACTTCTTTGTTTCATTCTTGACCCATTTCCCCCACCGTGCACACCCGGGCAGAAAAAAAAAATCCAAAGAAAAAGTGAAAAGTATGCAGGAAAAATGCCAGGCTGGGTTTTCCTCTAAACTCCAAGAATTTCTCGATGCACTTCTTACATGTCTCCAAATATTAAAAGTCAAGGGAACAGATTTCTGTTTGAGATATGCAAACATAAAGACTCCACCGAGCTTCTTACCTCAGACGTCCAGATTCCTCACGATAGTAACTTTACATTCATATTTGATGTACAGTACACGACATTTGGCCTTTTCCTCTGGGATGTTAATCTTAAGATTATGGACGTGCACTCCATATCGCCGAAGATTTACATACTCGAAAGATCCCTCAAGTACCATAAAATGTCAGTAACATCTGGTAAGTGTCTGAGCCTTAAAATGATTAGATCTGTAGATTTATAGAGGAACGTTTCACCTTCTTCTTCAAAATCCTTTGTGCAGAGACCTGAAAGCCTTCAGCGAGATGAGGACTGACTGCGGGCACTGGATTTTTGGATACACAATGGAGCCTGCTTGGCTAGGTCATATGCTTGAAAAATGTATCTTGAACAGCTGCCAGGCTTTAGGAATAACATCTTAATCACCCTTCAGCCACAGGACAAGCTAACTTTATTTAATGGTGCACTTATTCTGATTGTGGTTCACCACTCTTTCAAAGAGCAGGTCACCCAAAGTTTACCAAAAGGCACGTCTCTACATCTCAAATCGGGCTTGTGATCATGGGCGTGTTTTTCAAATGCACAGATTCAGCATCTTTTGTAATCCCGAAGGTGTGGTTTGCTGGTGATTTTGGTGCGACATGTCTGGACTTTCACCACCTCTCGTCACCTGCTGGATTGTCCTGTCAGTCCATCTCCTTGAGGCTGGGAAACGCCTTTCCTTCTGCTCCCAACCTCTATTCTTTTATATCTTTTTCCTCTCTTTCCCTCACATATCTATCAGCCTTGGATTTTCCAACTTCATGCAACTTATTCCTATTTTTACCCTTCGGTCTTCCTTTCTGCATCACCATGCTCTCTCCCTTTTGACCCTCTCCTGACATGTTTATATGTCTCGGACCCCATGCAGCTGGGAGAGGAGCCATTAGCCGTCGTGTCTATCTGTCTTTTCTCTCCCTTTCTGCCTCTCCGGCGGCCTGCTCGGTTCTGCTCTTGTGGCATGACTCTCTGAAGGGCAGCTGTCTATGTGGGAGACCAGGGAGCTGAGGGGGAAATCTTAGCTCGCATTCCTTCAGAAGAGGGGCACTTGCTGCAAACGGACCGTTGTGGAATTTCCAAAGTGATCTGGTTTATATTCCCTCTCAAGCTGGATTCATCTCCAGAAGTTATTAGAGAGGGGCACGCTCTGGCCTTAACTGATTAAAATCATACATCTTTGCTTTCTTCCCCACCGTACCAGCTCTCAGTACATGTAATGAGATACAGCTACGAGGCTGCGCACAGACACGGCTTTACTATAAACACAGGCAAAAACACCGGGACAATTCGCCATGCTTTTGAATATTTTGAAGTGCATGCTCCTAAAATCTCATTCGAGACGCCATTTCCGGATTAAAACGGGTTGATTGCTGCTCTTAAAGGATATGGTATGTATGTAGCACTAACTCGGTTGAGGCTCACGCATGTTTCAGCTCTGCCTCTGTTTATTTTCAGTGAATGGGACATCTGTATTTCTCATTAACTACCTCAGAGGGTAGTTGCGGTCTGAAGCAGAGATGAGTAAGCCCTGGTAGAATCAGGGTGTGTCTGCTTGTGGTCTGATGATGTTTATATGTCTGAGGCGTATAAACAAGACAGTCCAAAAGCCTAATTACTCCACAGTTTCAGTACATAGTAGTGCCTAATAGGCTACACTCATTTCGCATTTGAAGTGCAAGCAGGTTTTGGATGCCAGCCTGGCGCCTTGTAACACATTTAAACACACACAAAGTTTCCAAATCCAATATATACACTAAATATACTACATGGCACAAGTCCCACTACAGCAGTTAGTGGCCTAAATTGCTTCCACAGACTGGCCAGGGAATCTAAGTTGCCAGTGGACCCCAGAGTACTATTTTGTTGGTGCTTTGTTGCTGTGTATGAGTGCATGCTCGTTTATAAACTGTATGTCTGAGCAGACTTGGGCCCAGAGCACCATAAGCATATGGTGGGAGCCCCGGTGCACCAATGCACAGACTGAACCCAAACCACAATCAGCTGGCTCAGTCTGTCTGTCTGTCTGTCTGGGCAAAGTCGAAATCGCAAAGAGCCAAGAGCCAAGATTCACACATAACAAAAAGTAAATCAGCTATATGCCCACGCTGTTACCTTCTTTAATAAGCTCTTGGGGGGGAAAGAAATGCAGCTCAGGAATGTGGGAATCAGAAATAATAATTGCAGATGAGTCTGCGACGTTTGCCCTGGAAATAGAGGTTTCTTCACTGCCAGCACTCGTGCTTTTGATTTGTGATGTTTTAATGCAGTAAGTTTCTGGTGTTAAACAGTTTTGAAATTGCACTCATCAGTGTTCACATGGCTGCAGCAGCCAAAGCAAACAAACAGCGGATGTTGCAAAAAAGAAAAGGAGATTGGTTTGATTTAGTCTGAGTTTATTAGTGGAAGAACATACAGACCTTCTGATCCCCTCTCTCCATTTATGGACAACACACCAGGCCGTGCGCGTCGCATTTTATGAGCTAAATGATTATCATGCTGAGTGAAGTGAGTCTGTATCACAGGTCAATGACTGAGTAGCGCTGTGCAGTTAAAAAGCTACAGGATATTTCTTGATTCACAGGAATGTCATGCAGCGCTGTTAATCTTAATTCACTATATCAGTATGTCAAAGGTTAAAGAATGAGAGGAAATGTGTGGGATCTCAAGAGGTTCACACCCCTCATACGCATGCTGTAACCCGTCACTCGGCTGCGGTCGCACTTTCTTTCTTTCACACGCTGCATCTTGCAATCAATCAGGGTTTAAACACATTAAATAAACATGCATCAACATTGTGCAGCACTTCAACCATTAAACAAGCATACACGAAAGCTTACAGATCGATTGATGTGACATCCTGTCGTGTCTGATTCTGTTTGGTTCAGCCTGTTTCCATCTAAATGCCTTTCTGCTTAGTTGCCGGGCCTCTCTGCAGATACGGTAGGAACAAGGCAGGAATTATTCTCCCAACAGAGAGGCTCGCTCTTTGTTCGGATCAACGCTCCAGAGAACGTAATCAAAATTTACGAGAGGACAAAAACAAAATGCCTAATGCTGATCTGCTTCACTGACGTGCAACTTAAGGGCTTAATCTGTGTCACACAGTGCAAGGTCCTAATAAAATATTTATTCGTCCTCCCCAGTGCAAATGATATTAGCGTGTAAGCCGGAAATATGAGCCAAGGTTGTTGTGAAAGAATAAAGTAGTAAAAAAATAAGTTGGATGTGTTTGTATGTGTGTGTGTCCAACAGCTGTGCAATGGCTTGTTAAATATTTAAGCAGCCAATCACATCGAAGCATCTCAGTGGATTTATGCATGTATCATGGTCAAGACGGGCGGCTAAAGTTCAAAACTGAGCAACACAACAAGGGAAAGAAAGGTGATTTAAGTGACTTTGCTTGTCGGTGCTAGACAGGTCAGACACATACTTCACAAACTGCAGATCTACTGGGATTTTCCCACACGACCATTTTTAGGATTTACAGAGAATCGTCTGAAAAAAGAGAAACTATTCAGTGAGCAGCAGTTAAGTGCTTTGTTGATGCTAGAGGTCAGAGTCAGGTGGTCAGATTGCTGAGTTGATAGAAAGCCACAGTAACTCAAATAGCCACTCATTACAACCAAAGTATGCAGAAGAGCACACAACATATTGAACCTTGCAGCAGATGGACCACAGCAGCAGAAGACCACATTGGGTGCCACTCTTCCCAGCTAAAGACAGGAAACTGAGGAACATCATTGGCTGGTCTGATGAGTCTCAATTTTCTGTTGCTGCATTTGGATTTGGACCATCTTACCTTGTAGCAACAGTTCAATCTGGTGGTGTTTTATTGTTAGGGACAATGCTGCAGAGCATCTTTGGGATGTGGTGGAAGAGGACATTCGCATTATGTGGAACCCTTAGCAACTGTGATAATATCATGCCAGGTTTAAGGCAGTTTTGAAGACAAGAGGGGGTCCAACCCAGTAGTAGTGAGGTGTAACTAATGAAGTGGCCAGTTACTGTGTGACTAATAACTGTTATAGGGTGTACTTAGCAACAGGATAAAAAAAAACAGACTCCTGCAAAGATGAATTTAGTTCACCCAGCAGTATTTTCTTCACTGAGCAGTAATAGCAAAGGAAATGCTCTGACTAAAGCGCGCATCTTCCTGTAGTGAAAGAAAAGCTCTTTAATTCAGGGTAAATGGGTAAATACATGCAGGTTGGCTTTAAATCCATTTAGTTATAATTACACTGTTTACTAAATTATGATTCACTCATCTTTAAATGAAAGCAGCTCAGACCACACAGGCTGTATACATTTACAGTACAAATATATCGTTTGCGATGCTACAGAGGCTTCCTCCGTTCATTACTGATTGCTTCTGACTGAACGGCATTTCAGATGTTTCCTAGCTGCTGCTTTGCACATTACGGCAGCATGAGAAAACTAAAACAGTTCTTTAGCTTCAACGGTGCACGTCAGACGAGTAAATCACAAGATG